GTTGGAGTGTGATTGGTTGGGAGTGGGCGCGGACCCCGTAGCAGATTTAGAGCACTATGGATGAATGAAATTGACTCCCAGGTCTAATGTATAGCCATGTGCTGGTGATGGAGTGATAGTATGGATAAGTGAAATTTTGACGCCTGATCTAAATGTGTAAGCTAGAAGTGAGTGGCAATGAGAGGATTTGTTTTGGAGGTTCTAAATTTTATGGAGTAGGGTAGAGTTTTGTATAAACGTGGCTATGGCATGGACTATATTGGGCGGATTGTGGGGGTTGAGAAGGAGGTGTATGTTATTGTGGTATTTCGTGGGAATGTTGCTGTGTAATTGCTTAATGTTTGTTTGTTGCAGCTGGCAATTTGTGAATATGTGGTTTATGTCTTCGTGGGTGTTGCAATGTGTGCATAGTCCATCTGGGTGTCTGTTTTGTTTATAGAGTGTGTAAGTTTGTGATGCCTGTGATTAGTCTGGTTATTGCTGTGTCTATGTTTTTGATATTTGAATATGTGGGGATTTCTCCTATTGGGGATTTAATAATGGAGGTGACCCAGGTTGATGTGTTTGTGTTGATGTTGAGTTGAAAGCTTGTATTTGATGTGTTTGTTTTAATGAGTTTTTTTTATTTCTGATTTGGAAGTGTGGAAGTTGAGATTTGGTGATATATAGGATGTGGCGAGTTTGGCTGCGGTGTCTGCTGTGTCGTTTCCTGTGATGTTTGAGTGGCTGGGTATCCATGTGAATGTGATATTTTTGTTTGAGCGTGTGAGTGAGTCTGTTTGGATTACTATATTGTGTATGAGGTCTGGGCGCGATTTGAGTGCATGTTGTGAAGTTCTTTGATAGAACTGAGTGAATCAGTTAGGATGAGGAAGTTTGTTAGGGGAAGGGAGGGTATTAGGTGTAGTGCAGTGAGAATAGCAGTGAGTTCAGCAGTGTTTATTGTGGTGTAGTTGGTATAGTGGAAATTTGTTGTGATGGGAGGGGTTTGTTGAACATGTATGCCTAGGCCTGTGGTTTTGTTTGTCTTGATTGATGCATCTGTATATATGTGAGTGTGGGTGGGGTAGTTTGCATTTATGTAGTTGTTTGTGATATTAGTTATGGTGGTTTGATGAGTGTCTTTAGGTAGTCGTTTGAGGATTGTGTCAAGGGACATGTCTGTGATTGGTTGGGGTTTGTCGTGAATGTAGCTTGTAATGGGAGGTATGTGTTGTATGGTGTTTAGCTGTTGTGCATGTAGCAGACTGTATAAGTGAGTAAGGCATGATGCTTTAAATGGGTTTGATTTGAACTTTTTAAGTGTAGATTCCTTAATGTTTTTATATTTGTTCGTGATTAATTTATGGGATTGTGTTGGGCCCCAGCCCAGTAAGTGAGTGTGGTTTGTTTTATTCTTTGAGTGATTGAAGAAGTGCCTGTGAGTAGAAGTAATGTGTTAAGAGAGGTACCACTCCTCGTGCCGAGAGCTAATTTGAGGGCTTTAAATTGAACGGAATTAAGTTTTTGAAGATTATGGGAGGAGAGGTTGTGGAGAATCGGGTCGGCGTAGTCCAATCTCGATAATATGAGAGTTTTATATATGTTAATGAGGGTATCTTTGTCGACACCCCAGTTTGTGCCGCTTATGGCTCGCATTAAGTTTAGATCTTTTTGATATGAATTGACCAAGTTATTAATGTGGGGTGTCCATGTCATATGGCGGTCAAAAGTTGCTCCTAGAAATTTGGCTTCTTTTTTTAATTCAGTTTCTTCAATTTCAATTTAGGTGTAGTTTGGGGGTATAATTTTGCATATGCTGTGTTTTGAATAATATGCCCACGGTTCTTTTAACGTTGATGTGAAACCCCAATTTTTGGGCCCAGTTTTGAATGGAATTTAGCATTTTTTGAATTTTGAGTGTTTAACTGAGGTGGAGGAGGTCCAAAATGAAATATCATCTGCAAATTTGGCAGTTGTGATTTCTGGCCATTTATCTGGAAAAATGTCATTAATCATGAAGTTGAATAAAGTTGGGGATAATATGCTCCCCTGGGGGGTTCCATTTTCTAAGGGGTATGGGTCCGAGATGGTGTTGTGAGATTTGATTGTTATTTGTCTGTCGTTTAGGAAAGAGTGAATGAAATTCAGAATTCGACCATGAATGGCATGTGTTTGAAGTTTTTGTAGTAGGCCGTTGTGCCAAACCATGTCGAATGCCTTGCTGAAATCAATAAAAATGGCCATAGTGTATTGTTTCTGTGCTTGTGCTACTTTGATATCTTGTTCTAAATGTAAAATGTGGTCTAAAGTAGTTTTTAATAGTGTTTTGGAAGGTGGGTGGGTAGTTGGTGGAGCTGCTTGTAGCCGAGAAGTGGGCAGCAAATGCATTTGCTTTATCTTTGTTTGTGGTTAGGTCCGGAAAGTTGGGTGAAATGGGTTTTTTAGAAATGCTTTTTACGGCTTTAAATTTATTCCACATAGTCCTGGGATTTCGATGAGATTGCCTGAGAGTAGAACAGAATTTCCTCCAATGGGAAATTTTTGCTGCCTTTATAATTTGTTTAGTTTTGTTACGTAGTTGTTTAGCTAAATGTAATTTTGAACGGTCCCTTTTTTTATTGATTTAGGGCCTTTTTTCTAGCCTTTCTGGCATTCATAATTTCATGGCTCCACCACGGGACTGTTTTTTTGTGCGGGGTTAAACCGAAAAGTGGGAATGCATTTGTCTGTGATATTTAGGATAGTGTTTGTAAGATTACTGTTAAATGTGTTTATGTCGGCTACTTGCTTGCATAGTGTTGTGAATTTTTTTCCAGTCAGCTTTATTAATGTTGTATCTGGTTTCTGTGGGTGTGGTTGGGGGAGTGGCGGTTGGTGAGGTGGGGATGTGTGAAGTTATAGTGATTTTGATGGGGCAGTGGTCGCTGCCCCAGGTGTCGTTGTGTACCTCCCAGATGCAAGTCTGTATTAGTTTGGGGGTGGTGAATGTGATGTCTATGGGTGTGGGTGAGTGGAGGTGGGAGAGGGGGTAACTGGTGGGTCGGTTGTCATTTAGTGAAGTGAGATTGTGTTGGCCTAGCCAGTCGGCGAGGCGGGTTCCATTAATGTCTCTGTAGGGTCTTGTGCCCCACAGTGGGTGATGTGCGTTAAAGTCTCCGAGTAAAATGGTATTGTGGGCTATGAATGTAGAGAGTATTGCCAAATCTTCGGGAGTGATTTTGATATTAGGACATTAATAATTGTGATTTGTTTGTTGTTTACTTTGGTGTTGATAGCCAGGGCTTCTAGATTGGTGACAGGAATTTGCAACATGGTATAATTAAACTTCTCTGCGGATGTCCTCTCCGACGTCCGCGCGCCGCACCTCAAAACAACCATTTCGATCCCCTTCACCTCTCTCGGCTACGGCTTACCCCTACAATAACTCCAGAGCCAGCATAGATTGTCTTCTCCGCATCCGCGCCCCTAGCAATCACTCCATTTCGATCCCGTCTTATCAATCACCATCACCAACAATCTTCCACCTCTCCCCTCAGGCACGGCCACCCACCCAATCTTCCCTACCAAGCAAACTCGCCTTCTTTGCTCACAATTTGTTATAACAGATTTCCAACAGCCCTACATCACTGCACCAGACACAGCCCACATGGACAGGAGTGTGACGTTGTCCTGCTACAGTGTCTACCTGGTGTATCCTGTTGAAGATGTAAAGGTGTCCATTAATTGGAGGAGGAACGGTTTGCCGCTAGACGAAAGCTCTGAATACAACATAGCACAGAGTCATGATTGGCCGGTACCATGGCATCTACAGAAGTACCCTCACTGTCAGTGAGGTGAACACAGCGAAGGGAGATAACTTCCAGTGTGAGGTTGTAATAGGACGGAGAGCGGTGTCAGGATGGAGTGAAGCGTATATACTGGTTAAACAATGTGAGTGAACGATATTGAAATTCGGACGTAAGAAGTATTTAAAAAATGTATTTGGCGTATCAGTTATAACTTTGATATGGCAATTAAATATTTATAATAAAACCCCCCATTCACAAGGAAGTGACCAGAATTGTTCTCTCCTGTACTGTCACCACAAAGAGGAAAATGTTGAGTTATTCATTGATAATTAAAGAATGTCCAATGTGTAACATTGTACAATATACAATATACAGACATGTCCATTTCTCACTGGAGCAAGACAATGTAGATATATATATATGCTATATTTGTGTTATTTCAGTTGGGTCTTATGAAAATTACACAGTAGTTCGTGAAGGACACAGTGCATTCATTACTTGGAAGATGCCGTTGGTTGATGAGGAGTTCCATGTAAGGACACCTAAAGATACATCGCTCTTTTCAAGTAAACTCACTTAGGTTCTACATCTATAATCTCTACCGAACGAGAGTCAATATAACGCAGGTAACAACGTCAGCTAATTCAGTCATCCTCCAGTTCTGGCTACACAATACAACACAAGAGGATGCAGGAAAATACAACTGTTCCATTCCCAATTGTCATCACATGTTATATGTACAAGGTAGGTAAACTAGCTCAAAAGCATCACCAGTGACGTATTTTTAAGTGATATAACACTATAAAACTTTTTTTAGTGTCATCTCAGTGATATAGCAATTCGTTTAAGTCACTATCCGAGTTCTTGCTCAAAATCTCTGTGCTTCTGTACAGCAGTCGTTATTAGAGGTTGTCTGACAGGGCATTCCGGCCTATCAATCACTTAATTGTCTGGTTTGTCTTGGCTTGGCTATAGTATTGATGTCAGGCCGCTATAGATTCATTTGAGGCATATCTTATGAATTGCGGCTGCTACCGGTAGAGCAGGACATGCTTACACTTCTTTGTGAACACCTGGTGTCATCACTGCTTTTCAGGGATCCGGTCATAGAACTCTCGGAGCTATTTTCCCTTTACACAAAACTGCATGTCTTTCTGAGGATAGTCAAGACACGCTATCTATTTGACGTTTGGTATTGAGCAGTATGATTTGATGTTATGTTTTATTAAGGACAACCCGCTCACCCAAACATCAGGGTCATTGTCAACACCACCAACATCGTTTTGACATGCAAAACCAACTCTTCCATTGAACATGTGGACCATGATCTTAGAATGATATACACGTGGAGGAGAAACGGACAAGAGGTTGAAGTTGGTGAGAGGTTCAACGCTTCAGGACAAACCCTGACTGTGACTGATGTGAAGAAAGAGGACCTGGGCAACTACTCATGTAAATCTACTGAGGAAGGTCTTGCATCCAACTGGAGTGATACAGTCGATCTCCACATGCTAGCAAGTAAGTGCTGAATGCAAGAACTGGGCAGGTGAATCATAGAGCTGACTTGGAGCTGATATCACAAATATTCCATCGTGTCTTTATCAACACGCAGACCTTCATTGACAAATATATTATGTTCAGTTATATCATGGTGACAATGCTAATCAAAAGAATTCAGTATAAAGGCAATTCAGTTCAATATGAACTGGCTCAAAGAAGACTTTGACAGAGACGATACAAGGATCTTGACGTGAGGGAACCCCGTGCAAGGAGACAAGTAAACACGTACGGTGTTATCAGGTCGTTGAATTAAAGTGCACAAAGTCATACGAACCTTTTTTAAAATATACTTATGGGAACAAGTAACTATGCTTGATATAAAGTTCACTGGAAATAGATTAATTCTGAAATGGAAAAATGCATCTCTCAATAATGTGCTTGAGGGCTACACTACTTAAGTCGTTATTAATAATTCCCACGTGTAATTTAAATATTGTGAACAGCACATAATCCTTGCTAGCTACTATGTTCTGATAATGGCATTTTGTTTAACCGTAATGTCACATCGTGTTATAAATAAACATCTACACGGCGTGGGTATGACCTCAAGTCACATTGTCCAGCTATGAAGTGGATTTACAAGCAGGATTGTAAGCATGATGCATGGTGAATTCATTGTTGGTTGCTGCTCAACATGTCCTACATTCTTCTAACAATATTACAGAAAACATGTAGAAGACATTTCCAAATATAAAGTGTCAGTAACAAAAATTGCATTCGACACAATTCCCTATTTTGACATAGACAGACACTGATAGATGCCATTTGAAGTAGCAACGCGTTACACCGGTGACGTGCTCTGTTCACGCAGCAGGCAGGACGGACGCCATTTTGTTGCGGCAATATGTCATTGGAAAAATCAGAGTCAACTGAGAATCCAAAGCTTGACAAGATTTTGTCCCTTGTACAAAAAGTGTCTCACGACTGCGAAGAGCTAAGAGCACGAGTTGCTGCACTTGAGAGCTAGTGTTATCGCCCTAGGATTGAGGACGGTGACCGGGAACCGTTGACGTCCCAATCTAACCGGCGCTCAAAAGGTCAAACCAGACCCGACGCGGTAGTTGTGCACCCCCGTCACCACTGGGGACGGAGATATATAAGGTGAATACTAAACTATGAGGGACACTGTTTCTAGTGTAAAACTATCCCCAGAATTACTTGTAAATGGCAGTCGTTAGGGAAGTTGATTGCAATACCATTGCCAAATGTGCACGTTCTACTGAAACTGTTATAAAGTGTATGTCTTTATTACTGGAATGTAGCCATTGGGACTCTGACAGTCGTCACGATCAAATTTTAATCATCCTCCAAGCAGAGATAGCGTATTTACAGGACGAGTTTTCAGCGTTTGCAATTCAAGGTCAGTTCGACCCGACTTTTTCGAGATTCTTCAGGTCACTTCAACGTAACACGTCAGGGTTACGTCACGTGATTTAAAGAATCTTCGAAGCGCGGCAGCGATGTCTCCTGTGTACCCTCCTCAGCGTAGCAGAGGCTTTCATCGAGGCAGAGGCGGTTTCCGCGGACGGGATGAGTGAAGGAGTACGTATGCTATTGGCAACGAAACCAGAGGAACTCCGACTTGACAATCATACTTTTTTCTCAGAAACAACATGTGTTTGTGTGAGACGAGATTCACCAACGGATTTCCATGGTTTTATCTTTAAGATTGCTGGTTCAGAGTTTTGTGTGTGTGGTAACGCTTGTAGTCAGGTTTACAAGTTCTCATAGTTTAACTACCTGTCATTAATTTTGTAAGATATGATTAATTCTATCTTTCCAGGTAGCCTTGTACTTTTATATACACTGAGGGGCAAAAGAAACGATACCAAACTGTAATGGGGGACAAATTGGATTTGAACTCAGACTTTTTAGGTGGTTTGGAACAGAAAACCTTCGCACGAACGCAACTTAAACGGACCTGCGCCAAAATACATGCATTTGGGAAATGGAAAGTCATGAAAAATGCATTTGACTGGCAATTTTTCATGCACGTGCAAAATGACGTGCATGGGTCGTATTGAGTATAAAAGCACATGGAAATGTTCGCCAGTATCAGATTGCAACGTTAACATCATCGACCATGCCAAGATTAACAGCAGAGCAAAGAGAACGGGCACTTGGTATGATCCAGCTTGGTGCGACCCACGACCATGTTGCCCGAATCTTCAACTGTATCCGTTTGACGATCACCAGGCTTATGACACGTTACAGGCAAACAGGCAGAACGTCGGACAGACCCAGGAGTGGTAGGCCGCCCGTCACGACCGCCGCTGAAGACCGCTACCTACGTGTGTTACACTTACGTAACAGGTTCCTCACGGTGACGTCATCGGCAGAGACAGCGCTCGGCCATCGTGTCAGCAGACGAACGGTGTCTAGGAGGCTACGTTTGCACGACCTTCGCGCCTACCGACCCTTCCGTGGCATAGCACTGAGCCGTCAACATCGACGTGAACGTCTGAAAAGGGCACGCCAAGTTGCAGGCTGGCAGAACAGGCAATGGGCTCGAGTACTCTTTACAGATGAGAGCAGGTTCCACCTTAACAGACCAGACGGCAGGATACGGGTACATCGACGCAGAGGTGAACGTACTGCACGTTGCTGCGTACAAGAAGTGGAGCCCTACGGCGGTGGAAGCGTCATGGTTTGGGGAGGCATAATTGGAGACAGAAAGACAGACTTGGTGATCGTAGACGGTAACTTGAATGGTCAAAGGTACATCGACCAGGTTCTCCGACCAGTCGTCTTGCCATTCCTGCAGCAGAACCCCCGAACTGTCTTCCAACACGACAATGCTCCATGCCATACAGCACAGCGCGTTAGGGGTTTCCTTAACGCTAACAACGTTCACGTCTTACCATGGCCAGCACGTTCCAATGACCTCTCCCCCATTGAGCACCTTTGGGACCATCTTGGGAGGCAAATTCGCGCCAGACCACATCCGCCTGCCAACAGGAGAGCTCTTGCCAGAGCACTGCAAGACGAGTGGAACAGGATCCAACGTCCGGTGATCAGACGTCTGACGTCATCTGCCCGACGTCGAGTTCGAGCCTGTATCGACGCTGGAGGAGCACACACTCGATACTGACTCTAACTTGTGGTAAAATGTGCTCAAAAGACTGTTTCAGTGGGACTGTGTAAACTTGTACGTGATCGAATACTGGACAATCGACCCCACCCTCTTTAATTGTTGAATATCTGTACCTTCTTTGGTTATGACTGTATGAATTTACGATATGTTGTAGTTGTTTGATTGTTTTGAAAATATAAATTGTCACCTTATGCTTATGACGTCTTGTTTTTTCTCACGTTGTGAAATTTACTTGGTATCGTTTCTTTTGCCCCTAAGTGTATTATACTTGTACTCATGTTTTATGAGAGCTTCGGTACTAACAGTTGGCAACACACGTATTACACTCTGTTCTGTTCTGTTCTACATACATGCATACACGTACAATCACGTGTGCGCGCACACACACACACACACACACACACACACACACCCCTACACACATACATACACATATACAAACAGACACACACAGACATATATACATACACAGGCATTCATAAAATCATACACACACGCACACACACACAAATATACACACATGTGTACACATATACAAATACAGACACACACACACAGACAGACATTTACACATACACAGGTAATCATAAACTCATACACACAAACCAAAACCCTCACACCACAAGCTAGCATGATAAATCGGCACTGAACTAACTCCTCGGACTCATCGAGACACCATGAATGTTATCATTTTGTCATTCAAACACTATTCCTATGCAAAAAAATATGTTTCTTTGGTCTATGTGGAGTCTACTTGTTGCTGACTTTGTTTGTTGAATGTATTTTCATGTAAGTGTGGTAAGAAAGTCATGAAGTGTATCCCTATTCGGTTTCAAATGTAAGAAGATTGTAGGGTTATGACTCCATAAGACACGTGAACTCATTTCGCTTCTTTATGTATATGTGTATATAAAACGTTTCTCCAGCTAGAAATGTCGACGTACCAATATAAGACCTCATTGCAAATTACGGTGTTGACGGTATTCCACTTGCATAGGTATTCCACTTGCATATGTGGACGTGCTCCTGCTCGCCGACGTGTTCGTGACCTTCAGAACAACGTGTTTGAAACAGTATCAACTCGACCCTGCCTTGTACTACACCAGCCCCGGTCTCTCGTGGGATGTGATCTTAAAGAAAACGGGTGTCAAACTGGAATTGTTCACGGATTACGAACAAATCACACACACACAAACCCCTACACACATACATACACATATACAAACAGACACACACAGACATATATACATACACAGGCATTCATAAAATCATACACACACGCACACACACACAAATATACACACATGTGTACACATATACAAATACAGACACACACACACAGACAGACATTTACACATACACAGGTAATCATAAACTCATACACACAAACCAAAACCCTCACACCACAAGCTAGCATGATAAATCGGCACTGAACTAACTCCTCGGACTCATCGAGACACCATGAATGTTATCATTTTGTCATTCAAACACTATTCCTATGCAAAAAAATATGTTTCTTTGGTCTATGTGGAGTCTACTTGTTGCTGACTTTGCTTGTTGAATGTATTTTCATGTAAGTGTGGTAAGAAAGTCATGAAGTGTATCCCTATTCGGTTTCAAATGTAAGAAGATTGTAGGGTTATGACTCCATAAGACACGTGAACTCATTTCGCTTCTTTATGTATATGTGTATATAAAACGTTTCTCCAGCTAGAAATGTCGACGTACCAATATAAGACCTCTTTGCAAATTACGGTGTTGACGGTATTCCACTTGCATAGGTATTCCACTTGCATATGTGGACGTGCTCCTGCTCGCCGACGTGTTCGTGACCTTCAGAACAACGTGTTTGAAACAGTATCAACTCGACCCTGCCTTGTACTACACCAGCCCCGGTCTCTCGTGGGATGTGATCTTAAAGAAAACGGGTGTCAAACTGGAATTGTTCACGGATTACGACATGCACCTGTTCGTCGAGATAAGCATGTGCGGTGGGATTGCCATGGTCTCCAAACGGTACGCAAAAACCAACAACCCGTACATGAAAAACAACGATTCGAACAAGCCCACCAATCCTCTCCTCTATCTCGACGCCAACAACCTGTATGGGCGGATTCGGCTGGGTCAATAGTGAGCATTTTAATCCGAACAACATTATGGCCATCCCCGAATTCGAGATAGGCTACCTGTTCGAAATGGACTTGGACTATCCTGCGGCATTGGACGCTGCTCACAACACTTATCCGCTGGCTCCCGAACGATTGATGGTCGATACAGACTGGATGTCCGACGATCAGCGAGTCTTGTTGGGCAAGAACACACTGGCCAATGAGGAAAAACTCGTCCCGAACTTGATGAACAAAGCCAAGTACGTCGTGCACTATCACAACCTGCAGCTGTACCTGTCGCTGGGCATGGAAGCTGACCAAAGTACACTGAATGCTCAAACTTGATCAAAAACCCTGGATGGAACTGTACATTCAGTTGAACACAAAATTAAGAAAACGAGCCACGAGCGACTTCGAGAAAAACCTCTACAAACTCATGAACAATTCGGTGTTCGGCAAAACCATGGAAACCTTGAGGAAACGCGGCAACGTGAAACTCTTGGGATGGCACCAGGAGGAAAAACTCAGAAAACTGATCGCCAGCCCAGCATTCAACCGGAGCAAGCTATTCGATAACGACTTGGCGGCACTGCACATGAACAAAAGCCACATCAAGCTCAATTGACCCGTCTACGTGGGAATTAACATTCCCGACTTATCCAAACATCTCATGTATGATATCTTCTACAACTCAAACAACAGTACGGCGATCGATGCGGGTTGCTGTACACGGACACCGATTCCTTGTTGTTGAATATACGCACCGAGGACGTGTACGAGGACATGGCAAAACACATGCACCAGTACAACACCAGGGATTACCCCCTACACAGCACGACCAATAAAAAGGTCCTCTGCAAGATGAAGGAAGCCCATCGTGGAATACGTCAGGTTAAGACCTAAAATGCATTTGATTCAAAAATCCGATCACGACGAAATGCGAAAGGCGAAAGTCGAAAGGAGTCAAGAAATACGTGCTGAAACGCCAAATCAAACAAACCCTCTTCAAACAGGCTCTTTTCGATAAACGCACGTTCAAACACCCCATGAACACGTGACAAACACAACATCTACGGCATCGCTCGGAACAAAATGTCGCTGTCGCCCCTGGATACCAAACGATGGACTGGACCAATGGCATCCACACTTATAGCTATGGGTACCAACAGTAGGCCTCGACGCTTTGGGAGTTTCCAGGACTCCCCCCATAAAGGAAACTCCACTTGATGTGTCGAGACAATTGAATGAACGACAGTGTGTATACATCATGGAGATGGTTTTTGGAAGCCCTCGGGGTTACTGGAAAGGTGTGAGTGCTATCCCGAAGCTAGTCAAAGCCGCTCATGTTTCAGAGGATACCTCCAAAGCTTGGCTTAAAAAAACAAGCCATCTGGCAAGTGTAGTTGCCAGCTCCCAGATACATGCCGAGAAGAAAGTTTGACATTTGCATACCCAATCGTACCCATCAAGCCGACCTCCTGTTTCTCCGGCACGACAGGGTGAGAAACAAAACGTTCAAGTATGCCCTGACCTTCGTGGACGTTGCCAGTCGCTACAAGGAAGCGGAGCCGTAAACAACCAAAGATTCGTGTCAAGTCGCTAAGGCCTTAGAACGTATCTACAAGTCGATCACGGACGGGAGTTCATGGGAGCCATATCGCAGCGGTTATTGAAGAATAAAGTCCAGGTGAGACGGGGCGTGTCCGGAGCTCACTGAGCCAAACCATTGTCGAAAGATTCAACAGGACTTTAGTCGAGCGTTTGTTCCGACATCACTATGCCCTAGAGATGGTCAACCCAGAACAACTTACTGCGAGTGGTGTCGGCGATCGACAACGCAATCACTCCACTGCTCGATAAAAGACCCATCAAGCCATTCGAATGAAATCTGTGACAACCGATTCGGCTGCGCCATTGCGTCACGGCCAAGAGAAAAAATTACCAGACCGGGTCGTCGTGAGATATCTGTACCAGCCCGGTGAACTCCAAGGAGGGGATAAATGTCGCACCACAGACCCCGTATGGTCAATGAAAATGTACCACATCGACCGAGTGGATATCAAAGACAACGAACCGAATCTGTATTACTTGCAAGACGGACCAGGTGGGGAATTCGTTCGAGAGGAATTGATGATTGTCCCTCACGACACGGTATTGCCACCTTTTTATTAAACATTTGTCTTATGTTTCTTATACATGTGGCGATTGATCGAGAAACGGTTGTTCAGATGCGTCCGGGTGGACGTCTGTGGCCTCGATATTTAAGCCGCCCTGCGTCGAGTCATAAGTTGAGGGAAATTCACCAGCTTGTATGATAGTTTAGGTCCCCTGGGAACCGAACGGTTACAACTCCTCATGGATACGTTAATCGATTATAGCTTCGGAAACCCGAGAATGCGATATCCCGTACTCCTTAATCGACTTCGGAAATTTATGGCAGACCCACTCCATAAAGTCGTTGCCGAATATTATGGCTACGTTTAAAAAAAAAAATAAATGGGTTGTTGGTCAGGATTAACACAGTCCTGGCTGGCGGCACATTGAAGGATGCCTCTCGCTTTATGGGGTCTGGAAGATTTAGGTTAGGCTGGCGAGCTCGGATTGAAAATCACTATTTTATACTAGGCGCTGGGAACGGAGTTATGGATAAATAAGCCTATAAGGTACCTGTAATAGAACAATCATATACTGAGTCAAAAAAGAAACTTCACATTCTTTTTTCATTCTTTTTGTTATTATTTCATTGCTGAGATCTGTGTGATGTATTCGATACACTGACAGTGCCATAATCAGTTCAACTACGCTACACCGCCGTCTAAAACATGGGTGTACAGAACGTCAAGTCACAAGAATAAAAATGCGAAATTCCTCAGTTCAATATCGTGTATGGCCGCCCCAGCATTCACCACTGCCAAACACCATCTCCTCATCGACTGCCTGATGCTTGTGAACACGTGGTTGGGGATTCTGCGCCATTGCTCTTGCAAGGCAGCGCCCAGTTCCTGCAAATTGTGAGGTTGGTTCCTAAGACCATGAAGCCTTCTCCCAAGTGCATCCCAAACATGCTCTATTGGATTAAGGTCAGGGGACCACGATGGCCAGTCCATGACGTTGATTCCAGCGTTTTGAAGGAAATTTCGTGTCAACATCGCGGTATACAGCCGAGCATTATCATGCTGGAACTGTAGACGTGGGCCATGAGGCGCCATGAAAGGAACGAGTTCAGGGGTGAGCACCTGGTCGCGGTAAGCAGCAGCTGTGAGGTTTCCACAGATGACAAGAAGTCGGGAATGGTTGTTCCCACAGAAATCACCCCACACCATGCAACTTCCGCCCCCGAATCTGTCGACTTCCTGTACACAACATTGGGCATACCGTTCACGACGTCGTCTCCAGACTCTATGCATGCCGTCCGCGAATCTGAGGATAAACCTGGATTCATCGCTAAAGACGACTCGATACCAGTCTCTCTGGGTCCATCGGAGGTGACGTTGGGCGCACAGCAGACGTTGACGTTGATGAAACAGCGTTAATATTGCCCCACAATATTGACGTCGAGAATTGAGATTGGCAGCCCGCAACCGATTTCGAATGATCTGTGAGGACAGTCGACCTCTGAACATCTCAGCCCTGGTTCGTGTAGCCGGCAGAAATCTGTCACGTAGGTGACGAAGGACGATTTGACGGTCTTCTGCTCGTGACGTCACACGTGGACGAACCGACCTTGGGCGATCAGAAGTCGTGCCAGTTTGTTGTAGACGACCTTGCAAGTCATACACAGTACGATGGTTGCACCCCATTGCTCTTCCCGCTTGCAAAATGCCAAGGGCACGTTCACGTTGCACGTGCATATGAAGAAAACTTCGATGCCAAGATCATGTGATCGACTGCACATGCAAAACCTGATTTGGTACTAACGCCATTTGCAAGACGAATAGATGGGTTTGAGTGGGTTTTGCAAACGTTTTTCTAGAGTCGAAAGATAGGGATCCCATTTCGGATACATAGATGTATCATCAGATAAAAAATATTCATTATTTTTCAAATAACATTTTGTGAAGTTTCTTTTTTTTGACTCGGTATATAACTACTAGTTCTGAACATGTGACTGATCCTCTGAGGTGTGTGTAGGGTCCAACAGACCGTTTGGCAGGTACAGAGATATGCCTGCTGCAGCACTAGAGTCAAAGCTGGGGATAATACCAGCCTGTTCTGCTGCTTTGCGGCATGTTGGAGAGGGTGGTGTGCTCAGGGTTGACCTCTGGGTGGCAGCAGGTTGGTGTGGAGATGATGTGCCACCACTGGCTGCCGTTTGGCTTTATAAAGCAATTGGAAAGATGGCGACCATTTATGCGGTTGGCGCGGACTCGATTAGGTCGAGTCGAGGTCGAAATAGATTGACTTCAGGTCGAGTCGGTTGACTCCAGGTTGAGTCGAAGTGGAGTCTAGTTCGAGTTGGACGACTCAAGGTCGAGTCGACGCCGAGTACAGATCGACTCTAAGACAAACACAGATCGGCATGTCAAGCCACCTCGACCTTCAACTCGACCTTACTCGGCCTAATGTCGACCTAAACTCAACCTTTTATCGACCTAACTCGACCTATTCCCGACCTGGTCTCCACCCATTCTCGGACCGAAGGTCAAGGAGAAAGGCGGGGAAGATGTTGACATGTCAAAAAATGTTCAAAAACTTTGTAGACCTGATTCGATCTTAGTCGACCTGACTCGACCTAACTCGTTCTGATACTCGACCAACTCGACCCCCAACTCGACCTTCAGGTCAAGAAGGTCGAGTATTGTAACGTTGGGACTGGGACCGCACCATTACGGTTGACATACCCGGCACTAACGTGACTTTGAGAGGATATTTTCCACACTTGCCTGGTCATGTGTGTTTGAATGAAATTTTCATTTTGGACCCATCAAGTCTTTACAGGCCTGTCCTAATGATTGTAAAGGATTGATTGAAATGCATTTTTGTACACGTGTTATTAAAAACATTTTCAAATGAAATATACCAACCTAAAATTTCCTTATCGTTTTGTTTTTCGTTATTTGCCTTTCAAACGCGTGATATCAAGTCTTTTGGACATTAGTCTATAATAGACAACCACACATTGGCGGTTGCATACATTTGCATGTCAATGGTTAAGTCAATGCTGTACAAACATTTGATGTTACAGATTTCCAACAGCCGTACATCGCTGCACCAGAAACAACTCACATGGACAGGAGTGTAACTCTGTCTTGCTTCAGTGTCTTCAAACTGTACAGTCCAGTTGATGTAAAGTTGATGCTGTTGATGAACTGGAGAAGGAACGGTATACCTGTGAATGACAGAATAACATACAACGTAAATCAGAAGAGTCATGCGAGGAAAACGGGTATTAGATACCACAGAAGTACCCTCACTGTCAGTGACGTAAGCGCAGCCAAGGGAGATAACTTCCAGTGTCAGGTTGTAGTAGGACCAAGGGCGGAGTTAGGATGGAGTGAAGTGTATGCACCTGTAAAACAGTGTAAGTGTATTTTGCCTTCGATATTGAAATTCGGACGTAAGATAGTGTTAAGATAGGTATTTGGCGTGTGTAGTTTAACTTGGATATTCATGACAAAACCGTCGATTCACAAGGAAGTGACAGTTTTGAGACCTGACTTGTTCAGTTACCGACTGTCACCACATAGAGAAAAACCATTTGACATGCTTAGGAATAGCGTGTTATTCACTGATAATTGAAATGAATTTCGATTGTTAACAAACGTGCCCATCTTCACGAGATCAAAGTAGTGTAGATATTTATGCTATACTTGTGTTATTTCAGCTGGGTCTTTTGAAAACTATACAGTAGTTCGTGAAGGACACAGTGCTTCGATTATTTGGAAGATGCCGCTGGTTCATGGGGATTTCCTTGTATTGGCACCTAGATTTGGAGTGCTCTTTGCAGTAAACTCTGTTGTTGTCTACATCTCTGATGCCTACCGAACGAGAGTCAATATAGTGAACATGACAACGTCAGCTGAGTCTATCATCCTCCAGTTCTGGTTACACAATTCAACATCAGAGGATGCAGGAACATACCACTGTTCCAAACTGAATGATGACCCCAGTCCCAATTGTCATCACATGCTGTATGTACAAGGTAGGAACAACAGCCCAAAAGCATCACCAGTGACGTATTTTCTGTGCTATAACATTTTGAAACTTTTTAGTGTCTTCTCAATGGTATAGTAATTCGTGTTAAGTCACTGTCTGAGGTTTTATGGATAGTCTTTTTGCTTCTCTACAGCAGTCGTTATTTGAGGTTTTCTGACAGGACATTCCGGTCCATGAATCACTTGATTGTCTGGTTTACAGGCCTCCGTGGCATGGCTATAGTACTGCTACCGGTAGGGCAGGAAATGCTTACATTTTTTTTCACAAACACCTGGTGTCATCACTGATTTTCAGGGTCGCAATTTTTTTTCCTTAACACTAAACTGAATGTCTTTCTAAGGATAGTGAAGACACGCTATGTATTTGTCGTTTCGTATTGAGTAATTTAATTTGATATTATATTTTATTAAGGACAACCCGCAGACGCAAACATCAGTGTCATTGTCAACACCACCAACATCGTTTTGACATGCGAAATCAATTCTTCCATTGTACCCGTGGACCATGATCTTGGAATGATATACACTTGGAAGAGAAACGGACAAGAGGTTGAAGTTGGTGAGAGGTTCAACGCTTCAGGACAAACCCTGGCTGTGACTGATGTGAAGAAAGAGGACCTGGGCAACTATACATGTCAATCTACCGAGGAAGGTCTTGCATCCAACTGGAGTGATACAGTCGATCTCCACATGCTAGCAAGTAAGTGCTGAATGCAAGAACTGGGCAGGTGAATCATAGAGCTGGCTTGGAGCTGATATCACAAATGTACAATATACTTATGGGAACAAGTAACCATGCTTGATATAAAGTTCATTGGAAATAGCTTAATTCTGAAATGGAAAAATGTATCTCCCAATAATATGCATGAGGGCTACACTACCTTAGTCGTTATTTATCATTACCACGTGCAATTGAAATAATGTGAACAGCACATAATCCTTGCTAGCTACCATGTTCTGATAATGGCATTTTGTTTAACCATAGTGTCACATCGTGTTATTAATACACATCTACACGCCGTGGGTATGATCTGAAGTCACATTGTCCAGCTTTTAAGTGGATATACAATCCGGATTGTAAGCATGATGCATGGTGAATTCATTGTTGGTTACTGTTCAACATGTCCTGCATTCGACACAATTCCCTATTTGGACATGGACAGAAACTGATAGTTGTCATGTGAAGCAGCAACATGTTACACCGTGACGTCACACTTGTGACGTCACGTAATCATTCTTGCTCTGTTCACGCAGCAGGCAGGACGGCCGCCATTTTGTTGCGGCAATATGTGATTGGAAAAATCAGAATCAGCTGAGAGTCCCAAGCTTGACAAGATTAGGTCCCTTGTACAAAAAGTGTCTGGCGACTGTGAAGTGTTAAGAGCACGCGATGCTGCACTTGAGAGCGGGTCTTATCACCCTAGGATTGAGGACGGTGACCGGGAACCGTTGACGTCCCAATCTAATCGGCGCTGAAATGGTCGCTACTGGAGACGGAGATATTCAAGGTGAATACCAGAGTGTGAGGGACACGGTTTCTAATGTAAAACTACCCCCAGAATTACTCGTAAATGGCAGTCGTTAGGGAAGTAGATTGCAATACCATTGCCAAATGTTCACGTTCTAAGAAAACTGTTATAAAGTGTATTTCTTTATTACTGGAATGTAGCCATTCGGACTGTGACAGTCGTCACGACCAGATTTTAATCATCCTCCAAGCAGAGATAGCTTATCTACAAAACGAGTTTTCAGCGCCCGCAGTTCAAGGTCAGTTTGACCCGACTTTTTCGTGATTCTACGGGTCACTTCAACGTAACACGTCAGGGTTTTCGTCACGTGCTTAATATAATCTTCGAAGAGCGGCAGCGATGTCTCCTGTGTACCCTCCTCAGCGTAGCAGAGGGTTTCATCGAGGCAGAGGCGGTTTTCGCGGACTGGATGAGTGAAGGAGTACGTATGCCAATGGTAAAAAAAACAGAGGGACTCTGACTTGACAATCATACTTTTTCTTAGAAACAACATGTGTTTGTGTGAGACGAGATTCACCAACGGATTTTCATGTTTCAATCTTTAAGGTTGCTAGTTCAGAGTTGTGTGTGTGTGCTAACGCTTATAGTCAGGTTTACAAGTTCTCATAGTTTAACTACATGTCTTTAGCCTAATGGTTAAAGCGTTGGCTCGTCACGCCGAAGACCCGGGTTCGAATCCCCACATGGGTACAACGTGTGAAGCCCATTTCTGATGTCCCCCGCCGTGATGTTGCTTGAATATTGCTAAAAGAGGCGTAAAACCAAACCCAGTCAGTCCGTCAGTCATAGTTTAACTACCTGTCATTAATTTTGTAAGAGATGATAGATTCTACTTTTGTAGCCTTGTACTTTTATTATATGAGAGCTTCAGTAGTTACATTTGGTACTTGTTACCTCCCCTATACGATCAGTTGGCGACACACGTATTACACTCTGTTCTGTTCTACATACATGCATACGAGTACAAACACACACACATGTACACACACACACACACACACCCCTGCACACATACACACACAGCCATATACACACATACATACACAGACATATACACATACACAGTCAATCATAAACTCATACACACAAACAAAACCCCTCACACCACAAACGATCATGATAAATCGGCACTGAACTAACTCCACGGACTCATCGAGACTCCGTGAATGTTATCATTTTGTCATTCAGACACTATTCCTATGCAAAAAAGATATGATTCTTTGGTCTAGGTGGAGTCTACTTGTTGCTGACTATGTTTGTCGAATGTATTTTCATGTAAGTGTGGTAAGAAAGTCATGAAGTGTATCCCTATTCGGTTTCAAATGTAAGAAGATTGTAGGGTTATGACTCCATAAGACACGTTAACTCGTTTCACTTCTTTATGTATATGTGTATATGAAATGTTTCTACAACTAGAAATGTCGAAGTACCAATATAAGACCTCTTTGGAAATAACGGTGTTGACGGTATTCCACTTGCTTATGTATTGTGTTTTAATTATGAATAAGTACAGTTGTGTAAACCACTTTAGATGGAGTTATTTTTGTTGGTGATTCGGATAGAAGATGTAAGTCTTATACTTGTTCAGATTTGAGCTCAAATCTTTGTTTGACATGTTGAAGCGATGTCCTGAAGTATCTGTATTATATAACGTCAGTGATACCATACTAGCTGGGATAAATAGTTCCTCGAGCTATAGCTGTTGTAGCGTCATACATAATTAGAAATAGACCTATCAGTTGAAAATGTACAATCAAAAGACAATGTACGGTTTCATGAAATCAACTGGCTTTAAAATGTCAGTGCAAGGATAGAAAGATCTGTTTTATCTGTTACAAGCCATGATGTAATGTGAGTTTTATTGTCCTAATTGCATGTACTCTAAAAGCATTACAGCTTCAGGAAATCAAATAGCATTAACATATATTTCCTCTGGAAAGAATCGGTGTTTTTACTTTTTTCGACCACAATCTTTTGAATGGTTTGTGAGTTTCTCTTCCCTAATAACAAAGCATTGTCCCCAGAACTTGAAGTTGGAGAACTAACAGTGAATGGAACAGTACATACAACTGTGAAGGAAAACGAAGTGGTCCTCTTCAGGTGTATGGTTGAGGGGCCTCCATTCCCAGCTGTATCTCTTATTCGGAACAACAGCTTGGCAACAGTGAATATGTCCAGGACACAACAGAATGTGTATGAACATGTTATGGTTGTAAGGAAGTGTTCTCAGCTCGGGGTGTATTCTTGTAGAGCCACGAATGTTGCTGGTGCATCAGAAGATGAACAACGTACAGTTGTCTTAAATGGTTTGTGTCTCGATCATAAAATCACTATGTCATGGTAATTAATTTCAACAGAGTAGAAAACATGTAAATGCGCATTCAAACGCTTCTATTTCTGCACTTTTCTAAATTCATCATTATATATAGAGAGGTCGGGTAGATATAAATGCATACGTGGTTATTTAGTTCATCAGACTGTTATCGTTTTGTAGAATGAACTCAAATGCTACTACTAACTACTAACTCGTACGCTGGTATTTGTCGACTCCTCGTCATTCCTCATTAGATATACAGTAGTGGGATAAATATACGCTTATCACGCCGAACCCCGGTGTTCGATCTGACACATGGGTATATTGTCTGGAGGACATTCCTGGTGCCATGGATGATAATATGAATGTACACATTTCCTTTCAGGAATGCCACGTGAACAAGCATCACATGTTCTTGTGACCAATGAAAAGACTCCTTCAGTCATCATTAATATCACGCTGTGTTCACACCCAGCACCATCGAAACCAAAACTGGGCCTCACACGAACAGGGTCTTTAAGAGACATTACTGATATAAAGAACTTTTACCTGACAACTAGGAATATGACGAACAATGTATTTGAATATTCTCTCATCGTCAATAATGACATCACTAGTGCAGACTTTGGAGCATACATATTCAGTGTCGAATACAATGACAGAAGACAGAATTTTATGATTCTTTCGTCCAAACCGGGTAGGAAATTTTAATTCATTTATGGAATTATGAAGTGTCCGAAATTTGGTGAATCTCTATGAACTACAAACTGTAAACTTACAAGAAGTATAATTCAATGCAATGTTTACATGGGTATGATTACGTCTGTGACATGTTTTTTTAGTGCACTTTCAGATACTCCAGAAACGAATCTTCCTCTGGTTGCTGGTTCTTCAGTCGCGGCTGTGATTGTAACTCTGGGTATAATTGCTGGTATGATACTTTCACGACTCAACCGGTTGAGAGGTGAGATAAATGTCGTTTAAAAGATTTAAATGGAGGCTTAATTTCTTTACACTACTGTCTTTGATTTCGGCTTACGTTGCCATTATTGATACATATTCCAAATAGTATCGACCTATCAAGTAAGTAATATAGAGATGATTGTCAGAACAGCCTGTACATACCTCCAATCTTCATTTCGTGTTTTAAAGTATCTTCAAGCATCATGCATCAAACGCTACGGTTATTATTTCTCTCATTTTTCAGACTACTGGAACCTAAGGCAAGTAGTATCTCCTTATTCTTCTTATGTTGGGACATGTCATATATATAAACGTGCGATCATGTTTACGCATGCATTATAGAGCGTTCTGTTAACCCCACTATACTCCACAGGTTTAGATCGTACGTCACACCCATCCAGATCATGACAGAAAATATCGATGATGGAGAGTATGCTGAAATCGACGATGCCGATTTACTTGATCTTGGCGCCGGCAACATTGTGCAACCTGTTGGTGATGTCCCGGGTGATAACAACATTCCACCTCCATGCGGTGCAAGGCACAGGCGGGAAAGGCAACAGCTGGAAGGTGAAGATGATGAATATGAAGAGGCGAGGTCACTGGACGCTACCAACACGGAGGAACACCCAACAGAGCAAGAAACGAAAGCTGAAATGCATCAGCCTGATTTGGATATTCTGGAAGACATTAAGGATGAGATGGTTATGACATTACACTGCTCCCATACTCATTCAGAACCCAGGATTTTTGACGCTGACTGGGCGGCTGGAGGACGAGAATCTGGACATATGGCAGCAGCGATAACAGATCAGTTTCAAGAAACAAGTTTCATGACTCAAGAACCTGATGAAACAGACACTGACAAGTTACCCACGATCAGTGGAATTTATTCTGGAATAGATGGGATAACAGCAATTAAGGCAGAAGAAGATGATCCCTTGGAGGAAGGAAGAGAGGATTATGTTGAAAGTGAACCTCTTGATTTGCCTTGCAACAGATATGAGAATCTGATGCCGCACCAACCTCGAGATACTTACACAGCCTTGGACAATGATGATGATATTACGCATGATTAGTACTCAAACATGTGTCACAAGTACTGTGTAAAACCTTTAAAAGAGGGAAAATCACCCAAACAAATTTCAAATATGAAAACACAAGTAATTTGTCATCAGCAGTGCGCAATGTAAACACACTTCCGTCAGTGTACGTCCTGTGTATGGCTGTCTTGTTGAGACACCTATGGTGCACAGTCGATTCCTGTTGGTCTCTGCTGACACTCTACCACTGAAGAACTGCCTTCTTGTGGAGGTTGAACTTACACATTTGTTGCAAAGATGACTTTCGTGATTTGCCCATAATCTTAGTGTGACGTCACTCGTGGCGACCCAGGCCTTGGTGGATCAGCAGCAGTGCCCGTATGTTGCTCAAGGGTCTTCAGACTGTGTATTCAGACTCTAGGGCTCGTGCAACTGCTGCCATTGATTGTCCAACATTAACCCTGCTCATGGCACTCTCACGCTTGTGATATGTGTCTCGAAGTATATTTTGAATTTAATTTCTGATTAAACTTGTAATATTTTTATGCGATTTCCTGTTTTGCAATGTCTGTGTGCTTGCATTTACCATTGCATTAGTTGCTACGATGCCCAAATGACTCACTGCAAGTGATTATTTTGCCTGACGACTTTTTTTACAATCATGGATAAATTATTTACATCAGTCACCTAGAACCATGTTAATTGCCGTGTGTATAGCACAACATGACTACAAATCATCCCTCACAATTAATATCAATAATATGGATGTCAAGTTTATAATGTTGTTGAATTAAATTTGCTCTGACATTCAGATCAGCCCGCAAGTGTCTAATCTGGTGGGTGTATGTGTTCAGGTATCACTACTTGACTTATGAAGCATATTTTTTGCACTTGTTTTACATGGAGAAAACGTGTGTATATGCGTTAACTGTACATATTTTGAGAAGTATAAACCAAATATGTCTTGTATTAAGGAATTGTTTACGTTTTGTGCGCAGTAATCGAAGGACAACGCTCTCAAATTGTTTAAAACCGCGAAAGAAATCCATTGCACGAATACTTCGATAAACTTACGTCATGTTTATGAAGTTAAGGCATAACGCGTACTCTGCTATGTGTGGGTACACACACGTGTATCACTATGTCTTTTTGTAATGAGTGCTTTGCTATAAGGCCCAGAGAGTTAAACCTGTATTCTAATTCAACTTAGTATGTAACACGAGTTCTGATTGGTCAATGCTATAAATTTCCGACCGTATAATCAGCATATACGGTCGCAATTTGAAAACCGATTCACCGAAACCTCTGAATGTATCCCTACACTTTTTGGGTAACGCTGTTTCGCAGGACATTGTCATTTGCAGAAGCCATTGGTCAATTATCTCCCCTATCTAGCTAAAATGGGTGGATTTTGTGTTAAAAAAGACAAAACAGTATCATAAATTTAATTTTAAGTTCAAACAACTTACTCTTAACGGGCTGTTGACCCAACACTGTTAGATCTTGAAACAAGGTTTATGACGTCATTATGGAGCTTGACATCACCTGCTGTGACATCATTTGACAACAGAACTGATAATGGCCCGTAGTTGAGGAATCAGCTGGCCGCTCATTTCTGTAACTAGAGGGCGGTTTCATCATAATACCGTCCATTTTATCTATAATACTATGATCTATTCATCATTGTCAAATTTAGTCTGTGTGCACATAATAAACGTGTGTAGTTTGAAAAGGGAACTACTTTCTCTGGCGATGGTGTAAGTTGGAGGAGCTATATGATTAACCTTTGACCTAGAGGAACTTTGACCAGGTTTAAATAATGAATTTCTTTCACGAAAAAACAGCGTAAAACGAGTTGAATTAGAATGGGGATGACTGTACTGTGTTTGACGAATATAGCCGCAAATTTAACGTTATATCGGCTCCGCTTACGCGTCGTCGATATAACTAAATTTGCGGTTATGTAACCACCGCTATACGTCCCCAATTCGTCAAACACAGTACAGTTATCCCAAACATGCTGTCATGATATATTTTATATCTATGTTTGTGTCGATTTATTATTAACTGTACAAAATGTACACAGATTATTTGCTAAAGAATGGAATTTGATAATTCACGCATCTACTTTGCTGATCAAGCCAAAGACCTGGGCGTGTCCTTAGATTCAATCTTGTCGTTCGATTATCATGTATCTCATCTTGTCAAAACCTGTTTCATGTCACTCCGCAACATTGGACATATTCGCCAATGTCTTACAGTTGAATCTGCCAAGACTCTTGCATTATTAATTGTAATAAGTAAACTTGATTATTGTAACTGTTTCCTGGCCGGTGCATCAAAGACCCAGATAGCCAAGCTACAGAGAGTGCAGAACGTCGCCGCCCGCATCGTGACTCGCTCTGGAAAATATGAACACATTACTCCTATACTGTACACTCTCTACTGGCTCAAGTTTAAACTCCTATGCCTTGTTTTCCGCTGTCTCACTGGAACTGCGCCTTCCTATCTATCCAATCTTCTGACCGTGTACACGCCTTCCCGATCTCTCCGTTCACAGGATAGGAACTTACTTGTTCTTGACAGTGCAGTATGGAAACAGGTCCTTTGTCCATGCAGGATCAATGGCCTAGAACAGCCTCCCACAGAGTCTCAGAGACTGTTGTGACCTTTCATACCTTTAAATACAAGCTGAAAAAGCGCATGTTCAAGATAGACTTTGAATTGCAGCTCTTTCCTTACTTGCATTTTTATTTGTGCGCTTTGAGCATGCATAAGCTTGTCTATATGCGCGTTACAAATATGCTATTACTATTATAAATATCGTTTGTATTGATGCTATTGTGGTATAACCAGCAATTAGCAGTGTGCTTTTTGTTACAAGCGATTAGAAAGATCGGGAGAGGAAAATGCATACAGTGATCTGTCTTTTTGTAGACTGAGTGCTTTGTTCTATTATTTAGATGTATTGCAAATTCTTTATTTCTTCAAATATTAATAAGTTTAGCATTAATTACAACGCTTCATGTATGTGTTTTAACATAATGAAAATGTGCTACTAAACCCTGTTATAAGTAAACTTTACATACTGTCTGTATTATGAGTTTTTTTTACTGTCAGTTGTCAACATATTTTTATAGTCTAATACACTGTATATATGTCTAGCAAATACACGGCATATATATATTGAGATATTTTTACTGTCAGTTCTAGACAGGTTTTTATAACGCTAACAAATGTCCATTTTATTATACAAATTGTCCTCAATTACATGGAACGTTACAATCTGTTCAGCATAGTACTCGGAGCAAGCTTTCAGTAATCTGAGTTTGAAAAAAATAGTATAAATATTAAAACAATGGAGTGAATCATTCCCTTACTCATTATTCGCTATAAATACGCCAGCGATTTAGATTAGTGTAAAATATCGTTTTAGAACTTAAACATATACTGAGTCAAAAACGAAACTTCACATTCTTTCTTCAGGGCACTATAAAAGAACAAGAGATGGTAAGATGGTTAAATTGGTATAATTTCATTGCTGAGATCTCTCAGTTCAATATCGTGTATGGCCGCCCCGCGTATTCACCACTGCCAAACACCGTCTCCTCATCGACTGCCTGTTCCCACAGAAAGCACCCCACACCATGCCACTTCCGCCCCCGAATCTGTCGACTTCCTGTACACAACATTGGGCCTGCCGTCCGCGAATCTGAGGGTAAACCTGGATTCATCGCTAAAGACGACTCGATTCCAGTCTCTCTGGGTCCATCGGAGGTGACGTTGGGCCCACAGTAGACGTTGACGTTGATGAAACGGCGTCAATATTGGCCCACGATATGGACGTCGAGAATTGAGATTGGCAGCCCGCAACCGATTTCGAATAGTCTGTGAGGACAGTCGACCTCTAAACATCTCAGCCCTGGTTCGTGTAGCCGGTAGAAATCTGTCACGTAGGTGACGTAGGACGATTTGACGGTCTTCTGCGCGTGACGTCACACGTGGACGACCCGACCTTGGGCGATCAGAAGTGGTGCCAGTTTGTTGTAGACGACCTCGCAAGTCATACACAGTACGACGGCTGCATCCCATTGCTCTTGCGACGTCAATAACTGATCTTCCCGCTTGCAACATGCCAACGGCACGTTCACGTTGCACATTTGACCATCATGGTATTTCAAGTACCGTTAGAACTGTGGTTTAAAAGTGTTTTTTTTCAATTCTTGAGGCCAATGCAAACACGTGCATATGAAGAAAACTTCGATGCGAAGATCACGTGATCGACTGCACGTGCAAAACCTGATTTGGCACTAACGTCATTTGCACGACGAATGGATGGGTTTGAGTTGGTTTTGCAAACGTTTTTCTAGAGTCGAAAGATAGGGATCCCATTTCGGATACATAGATGTATCATCAGAGAAAAAATATTCATTATTTTTCAAACTACATTTTGTGAAGTTTCTTTTTTGACTCAGTTATATATTTGTACATACTGTATAACTGTTACATATAATAACATTTATTTGACAAGATTTATAATTACATGGTCCGTGATAGTTTCCACTTACTAATACCAAAAAGCCTTAAATAGTCTGTGGGAAAATTATTTTGGTCTCAAGTTAGAAGTTCTTTTACCGCTTTAGACGACTGGGAAACACTGATAATGCTGATTGGCCCGATCTGTTTCATTGTGAGAATGATTTCCTCTTTACATATACATTAAATTGAGTTTGTTTTGAACTGCTTATTATAATAAATACTTTAAACGGCTTTTTGTTTGTGTTTGTGTGTCAAAGACATTTGATTTTGGACCTTACTTGTCACCAGTAATGCAAAATGTGTATTGTTGTCAGCTGAAAGGATTCCTACGTCCTTAAGTGACAGAGACAAAATCTCTCGAAAGAACCAAACTGGTATCATTCGCATATTTATATTAACGTTAATATTTCCTTATGGATTTGCACATTTAATTTGGAAGAGTCATATACAAACAATGTATTTCAACTACTGTCAGATACACTAAAGCAAAATTGATC